CTGAACACAAACAACTGCGCCGAAGTCCACATGCGGCGCCCACAGACAAACACAGAAACAAGAATTCGGACGACGGCGGGGTGCTGACTCATTCGAGGTCGTACATGCACGCATGCAAGCACATAAACAAACAAACAAATGCACAGAGACTGGAATACAAATGCGCGCGTGAACATCCGCTTTAAACAACGCGTATCACATAACGGTACAAGCCTTCTCGGGTATTTCGATGTTTGCTCTATTAGGACACTAGCGTGTGACGACGGTATAGTGCGTCAAAAGATAAGGAACAATGAGCCAATGTGCTCTGGAGTTTTATTTTCAGTCGTTTCATGATAAACTCCCAATTAAATATGTTCGTACAATCGAGCATTATCAACAATTATCATCAACTATTCTACGGGGAAATCAGCAGACCTTTGCCAAGAGCTGCTAATCAGTTTCAAACAGTATGCCTTTTCGTTAATGTTCCTCAAATCACATCGGTCACGTGATAAGTGTCCCAAACAATCAAAAGAACGGCAACGGTTTTGTATCGTTTCTGTACACGCTGGGCGCCGAACAAACCAGAGAGCAAAATGTGATCGCTTATCAAAGTTGTTAAGTACGCACGAATTAACACGGAAACCAGTATTGATTTGTCAGGGTGAAGGCAAAAATCGAGCCAAAACACAAACAACCAGCCCCAACCATATGCGATCAAACTACCTAGCGTGAACCCCAATCACATGCCGATAACAGTTAATTACTTAATCTGGAACCGGGAAAACAACTAATTTGGACGTTCGATCAATTTCTCCGAACACACTCACCAAATATCTAAGCCCATGCATAGTGGAAAACATTCGAATTCGCCGGGACAGAGTAGTCAGCTTTAAGCCGAAGTCCAAGTCAATACCCGTCAGACGTGAGANAACCGGCTTAAAAACAATGGATCGGTAAACACAGCCCGATCCAATTCATCCCCAAAATAGTTCACTCAAGCACTGAACTTGTTCAGCTTATACTCTGAAAGGGAATGAGAGAACCAAGTATGTGATGCGATGCAGTGTACGATAGAAAGAACGGTTCGCACGAAAGCATAGCCCAATGCAGTTCCGTCTCCCCCGTCACATAAATATGATGACGCACCGAATTGAAAATCAAAATCAACATGGCACAGAATCAAATCTGATTGAGTTCGTACAAAAAAACAGCGGTGAGCTGATAAAATACCCGACTGGGATTTATCTAGAGCAGGACAACAAAAAAAGGGGCAAGTCGGGATCATCCGGACAGCGCAACAACCAATCACAAACCCAGTGGCATATTTCTCGTCACCCATGAAAAAATCACGAGCGAGGAACAGACGATCTAAGATGTTCAATCGAACAAGAATAGTCGAAATTGGGAATGGAGTAAATGCATCGATTATCATTTATTGATCACTAGCGATTGGTGGTTAGCGAAGATGCTGGAGCAACAGTCCCATTCGGACCACTTGTGTGCTGTGTCTCTTGCAATTTGTGTAACACACGTAAAGCTCTTTTAGCGGCCAAACTTTTTGCTAGACGATAGTTCCGTCCGATTCCGTAAAAGCGTCCTTTGCCCAGGACATGAGCACACACAGATATCCGTCCGTCTGCAGTACGCCGAGGACGTCTAGATATCAGGAATCCGGTGTCCAATAAGGTTTGTGCAGTATGAGTCGCAGACCGGAATCGGAATGGGAGGAGGGGGGGGGGGGTAAGAAGGAAGGAGGCAAGTGAGACACTCGAATTTGGTGGCGATAAACTACCACTCCGCGAAAACTAAAATTTGTGCAAGGAGAAACTGATAACCAAAATTGACAGGCAACAAAAAAATAGATGATTAGACAAGATTTCAGCAAACAGCAGGCGTTATGACAAGGATAGCTCTATTGGAACGCACAAACCCGAGGACCGATAAAATAACCGGGGTGACTGAAATAATAACATCATACAGACACCATTGACAATATGCGTATTATGGTTCTGAAGTGAAGCAATCAAACAGCAGTTGTCATTTTAAGATTGTTGTTAGTTTCTTCACACAGCCCCCAAAGTGCCTTAAACTCCAAATTTGCTCACGGGATTGTTTCGGTTATTGGGACTCAGCTTTTGACTTTGCAACTGCACGGAATTAGATACTGGATAGCAAATCGAATGGATTGATAGTCACGTTCAAATTACAGCGGCTTGAGTACTGACATTTAAGAACCCTAGCTGTCTGGTTCCCTGCCGTGTGAATCAACACAACTGAATAACCAGCTATATCCTAGATTTTTCGGGCAATCAGGAACATCGGCGGTAACTGGCTACTACCCAACTTAGTACCAGGTGATCTAAATGTATCTAAATATTCGGGCTCAGATTGCCAGTTCCGAAAGCTGAACAGGAGGATCGCTCCTGCCTCTGTTAATCCCGCGGAAGTGTCCAATGAAAAGTTATGAAACCATTTAGGTAAGGAGTAAAACCATAGTATGAACTGATGATCAATGAAGAACACAGGATAGTCAACCAAGTGAGTGCCTATCGTTTGCGTGATCTCCAAGGAACTGAGGAAGAGTAGCAGTCCAACCATGCCGATACTTGGTGCGCCACACGACGGATCAACCTTTGAGTTAGTTAGAATTGCTGTCATCACACAATTGCTAACAAATTTTTTGTTTCTCAAGCGAACAGATAAATATACAAAAGTTAAACAGGATCAAACATAATTTGAACGTACTCGAATTTGGTTCCTTCAGGTTCCAGCTCCAACAACTGACGGACAGGTGACTTGGGAATGCATGCAGTGTAACGTTCTGAAAATCAAACGGAAATAATATCAAGAAGTTCCAATTGTCATGCAGCTGAAAGAAACTATCCTATGCGGAGAAGGACATGGACAAATAGGAACGGGGAGAGCAAACACACGATTTCGGTCTACAGTTTGGATATCCAATTAGCATGAAATCCTATGTGTTGGTTTTTCGTTATCGATCTTCGAACAATGAAAAAAGTAGAAAATTTAAATGCAAAGCTGCGAACACGAAACTTGTGGATGCATTAAGTACTAACGCAACTGTTTACTACACCCAGCGACATCACTCAGTGTCTCCAATCATGGATTAGGTTGGTCAGGAAGTCGTCAAGAACGGGGTTATTCAATGTAACAGCCACAGCAGTCTACCAGGATTATTGCGCGCCACCGTGATTTCCTAAAATTGTTTGCCCCGCTTCGATATCACTTCACTGATTGTTCTAAAATGATTGTCTAACGCCTTGGCGGAAAACAGTGAGCCGGAGTTTGTTTATGATAAGAAGTATATGAAGGACCAAAGAAACTAATATCCGAATGGATTGCTTCATTGATTAGTTAGTTGTGGGTTATACTAGTTTCTCAAGTACTTCGGATGGAACGGTTTATTTTGCATCCATTGATCAAAATCAATCACAAAATACGATAAATAGCCAAGAACACCCTGTTTACAAAACAAAGTAACGCTACTCCAGTCAGACAAGTTTTCGCATAACGGATATTTCAGATTAAAAATCGTTCACCCTTCACCGTACAATAATAAGATATTGTATGGTATAACGTCGGTCAAAAATCGAACAATCAACCAACGGTGAGACATTAGCCCACTGAAATGACATTTCAGTGGCGATTTGCTTTCGGAAGACTGCACAACATGTGAACGGATGGAAATTGCACGCACTCACCGATTCGCTCCTTCATGAGTGGATAGAATACGGTCCACACAGTATCCAAACTCATCCCTGAGTCCAAGAAGATGGCACCAGCCAAGGATTCAAATATATCGCCCAACGCTTTAGGTATTTCCACATCATCTGAGACTCGATTGACAAAATTGAGCTGATTTGCTCGTGTATCCGCGGACGTGACAGACGACTCCGGTTTGGGTGGGCGTGAAGATTCCTGTATAGTGGGGAAGGAAGACACAAAGATAGAATGCGTATTACGCCTAGACACACGACTGAATAACTTGTTTATCAAGCCTAATTTCAAATGCGAATAGATTTAAAAGCACCTCGTGTCAACAAGAAAGAACAGGACCCTCTAGAGGGAAGTGAGTGTCATAATGACTCGATCGCCGAACCTTCCAATAGTCGGGGGGAAACTGGACCGTTAGTGTCAACACGACGAGCTTCATTCAGGGAGCAAAAAGGAGCAACTACAGACACAGTAACAGGAAACCGGGCGGATCAGGATGAAAATACCGACTACATTTTTCGACAACCACTAAAAACGGATCACCGAGATGAGACGTTGGAGAGCAACCCTGGAATTCATAACGGTTTGAACTGACGGATTACTGAGAGAAATTCAGGCGGGTGATTAACCTAATATCGGTTACCTCGATCAGCCAGAACTCTGAATCGCAAACCCATCCCAAGTTCTGATTTCGACTCATCCGGGTTTCAGACTCAACACTTGTGATTCTGGTTTACTGAATGCGTCCTTCTGTCAACAGCAACATGACAAAATTTACACACCCGAACAATAATTCACGCTTATTCAGTTTACATGTTCTTCACTTCCGAAACACGTTCAGTAAAATTACAAGTTATTTTCCTGTGGCGATAACGTACCGAGTTTGGCAGAGCACTACCGTCCACAAAACTGCCGACCAACTTTTGAGCCTGTGCTTTTTCCCACTTAGTCTCTTGATCGTTTACATCTCCCAAAGCTACGGCATCCATATGGATCGTCTCCTCTTCCTCTGCCTCGTCGTCCCCATTGGGATCGATCTGTCGATGATTCAGCGATGATTCCACATCCCGCGTGTCCGAGGGGGTTTTCTTCCAGTTTTCTGTTGCACTCGCAAGGTCCATATCGAATTCGGGGTTGGCCAGAGTGTCCGCAGCTGCTTCGTCACAGAACGACTCATCCGGATCCGGTTGTCGAACCTCAATATCCTAATAAAGAATGGGAAGAAAAGAACAGGCATACAATCAGGGCTCCTGCAAGGGATAATGAACGTCATGAAAAGAAAGAGATGTCTAGAAAACAGCTGACGTATATTAATGGATGAGTGCATGTCAATAGACAGGAAATCTACCAGCAGAAAATGTGCTACCAACCAATACCCTATTTTTACTCCTTTGGGAAAACGAAGTACAACTGATTTTTATTTGTACTAAGCGCTTGCAGTGCTCTAGTAAGAACGCTTACACGAACGCAAAATGCTGTATGATTGCATACGCGCAATGCCACATTGATGGGCCAATTCTGCCAACAGCTCCAGTTCAAAAGAGGTTATTATTATTATATTATTATACATATGTAATATATACCGATATTATAATACATTGCATTATTTTTCAAAATTTGATTCAAAAATTCAATGATATGAAAACGTGGCTTACTACTTAACAGCAGTAAAACAATTCATTAAAACGGGAAACACTACAAACAGCTTGCATAAAAGTGAGCGGCAAATCAACGCGTTTCGGTGCATTCCAAACGACTCGATACAGTACATCTCAGATCTGTTTCCCGATATACTTTTGTGTAACAAACAGTCATGAGGATCGGTTGTTCACTTACGGTACTCGACAACCGAAGTGCTGGGACTCGGACTAACGAACAATGCAAGAGTTGAATAGGATTGCGGTAGGGGAGCTATCGAGTTGGATGAGATCGCATCTACTGATCCCCTAACCGAATGACTTACCTCATTCGTGATAAAATCCAAATCATCTTTAGCCACTTCCTTTTGATATCGTACAAACGTGTCTATTGTGTGAAGTAGTTGTGGTGAGGAGGCGCGCAAATAAACGTGCAATCCGATTCGCACAGCTAAGGCCGCAAAAATGTTATTGTTCACCAGTGCTGAACGTAAATCGGTCAACACGCCCGGGGAATGTTGTGTGGAATCCTCGTAGAGGAACCGAGTGATCACATAATCTAAAACAGCATCTCCGAGGAATTCCAATCGCTGATAGCAATCTGTATCGGTGAGGAATGTTGTAGCAGAAGAATCGGAATCGCAGAGTTTACCACCGCGTAGCTGATGATACGACGGATGGGTGAATGCCTGTCAATATAAAAGGAATGGTAGCACAATCACGTTGATTGCAGTTACAGATGGTATTCGGAAATTCCATTTGAATTGAAATTAACATTAGAACAACCACATCGCTAATTGTGACGACAAGCAAGTATTCCAACAAGCGTATTTTAGCCAATATTTCCCATGGTATAAAATTTCATGACGTTGTTGGCTGAAACGTGTCCCAACGGATTTTGTGAATGATAGACAGTTCATGAGTGTGGCAACTAGTTAAACCAAATCCGGAATGGAACAGCCCACTGCGGCTAATAAACATATGGATAACGCACGGGTTGATATGACAAAGTAAGAAGTATACGATAGTAAAACTTTTCCTTATAAAGGCAATAAGCAATAAGTGGAAATCTGAGTGTGCACCTGAGCCACACCAAACTGAACTGGTAATCAGCCGTAATTGTGTTGTTTTAGATCAAACATGATACAAAGTGGATGTTGTGGGAGAAACTGTGGGGAAATTCAGCGTTACATGCGCTTCAGGGAGATGGCTAACAGCAATTCCAGTGACTACACCGGTGGTTGTGTCCGCAACTTCCTAGATATAATTCAAAGTAAAGTGAATAATTTTGAAGGATTTAAGTTAGTTGTTGTAAACGAACTTAACTCCACAGAACAGTCAAGCACCGGCCGATTCCTGCACTCATTCTTGAACTATGCATCAACAGGTGTAGAACGAGAAGACGGAACAAATCATGAGCCATCTGTCGTAATTTTGGAGAGCAGCTTTGTGGTCCTTGTTCCTTCGATGTGTCAAACAGTGGGAATCCATTTTTAAAATCGATATCCGCAACCCAGCACCGTCATCTGGGAAATTAGTGGAAGAAGCCGAACTGTTTTAACAATTTTACTTTATGGAGGCCAGGGTTCTTAACCAGTTCGTAACCGGATCATATGCCTTTCGCACGGGGTTGAGCGTCCAAGGTGGCCCATACACTTCGATACCCAATCGAGCCGGTGACCATTGTCACAACCACAAAGGTGTGAGTACATGTGGTTCGTACGCTTCATCTTGGTTGGTTTGGAATCAGGGTTTTTAGCCAACTCCCCTGGATGAACTGCCAGGGGTTCACCGACCTGATTATAGTTCCGGATGTTGTTGGAATAACATCTTCGCCACGAAAAGGCAGTGAGTAGAGTTTCCTCAACGGAGGCTATTTGAGACGTTTCGTCGTGCAGGGTTAATTCGCTAGGTGAAAGGAGGTGATCATCCGCAACCTGAGACACCCATCCCCGGCCATACTAAAGAACTAAAGGAAGCAAAACTGATACACAGGTTGAGATGATTAGTTGTGTGTGGAAAATCGTTGTCGGAATTGTCCGTGGAGCTAACTGGTAGGTTGACAAATGTAAATCCAGCGCAGATGAGCCGTTTTGTGTTTAATAACTGCATTCATCTAGATCACATGTTCTAAGCCAGCATGAGTTCGTGAACCAGGGAGGACCACTAACTGATTTCAACTGTGTCCAACGGTGAATGGAGACAGTTAAATAATTGAGGTTGACATCTGTCCTGGAATACTGACAAAGATCATCTGAATCTGTCCTATACAGATGAATTATAGTAATAATATACGGAAGTCATCTCCCCAAACCCCTACCTCTTCCTGTTCGAACGAGCCGTTCAGTGAGGTACCTTAGTTTCACACTATTTGTCAAAAGTACACTTCTTTGTACCAAATTGTGGATTTGGGCCCGATAATCAGACTGAATCTATTGCCAATATAAAAGCCCAATCGATTGTGCACTTTCATGTTCAGATAATCGAATAGCTTGTTAGGACCAGACAGAAATTCAAGAGGAACAGTGTATGAGTAGTTAATAATTTTTGCAGAATGGAAAGTAAATCACGCTAACCTGAATCAAAAGAGAAGGATCCTTAAACGTGTATTGCAGCTTCGCTTCCAGTTCGTCAAACCGCCAGACCAAACGTGCTTCATTCAACCGAGCCCAGCGAGGGTCGGAAGGTGGTATGTTCGGTTGTGGAGGTATCCAAGGTGCTCCATGCGCACTAAACTGAGAATCTAAATGTGAACGGAGATAAACAAGGTATAAAGCAAGTGAAAAAGGTGCACATCTAATTGCACACGTTGATGAGAATAACACTTTTGAATGAATACGGGATGGTAGAATCAACATAGAGGAGAAAAGGAACAGCAAGCTTAAACTTTTAACACGAAATGAATTACATGCACGTTGAGTTTAGTTCTGTTTTTACAACCATTAACCATGCACTTTCGTGCGCCGGTTTTGGTTTCTATCTTTTGGTGCCCCAATTGGATAAAACAGCAGAATGATGATTAGAATGTTGAGAGCAGATCCAAGAGGAAGATGGAAAATTCATATAGAATGGTGTTAGGGGAATAATGAGTGGATGNCGAGCACCACTGTTTGTGACACCCAGCCATATTACTCAGTGTCTCTAACCATTGGTGACCATCATCCCGAAGTCCCCAGCCAGGGAGCCTAACGGGGCCTATGTGACCTAGTCTCCTGGTTAGGGTTTTCATACTCTCATGCCAGGTATTTGTTTGACCATCCTTGACCTTTTTCCAACCGTTGCCTGCCTCGGCAAACATCGCTCGCCGTGACAACCGCGACACGCGTAACATATGCCCCAACCAACATAATCTATGGAAGTCGATCACTTGCTCCAGTGGACGACGGCGACTGTCTAAAACTCTAAGCCTAACCTTAGCATTGCTTGTCCGGTTACCCTACCAGACTCGTGTAACGCGACGTAGACAGCGGTGTTCGAACGCCGACAATCTATTTTTATCCTGTTCCCATGGCATACATACACGACTATGAATAGGTTCGAACACAAGCAGGCAATCCAGAGAGGGAAGCACTTAGTTACGGAAGATCAAGTACCTGATACTACTGAAGTCGGCCCGATGATAACAAAATATACCTCTACAATGATAAGCAAACAAACATATTGTTCAGTGCACACTAGATGGACTACGTATATGTCAATAGACCGTTTATTCAGGTTATTCAACCTTGGACGACAGTGATCCGGTGGTAGAGGTCACCGAAACATCGTCCCAGAGGACGTATGTTCGAATCCCACCACCACCGATGGACTTCCCACATGATGTGCTCTATAGTAGACCCTTGATTAGCCTCATTCCCCGTCCTGAAAATTGCATCATTGTATATTCAATAAAAAAAGTAAAAATGAAAAAATAACAAGACAGACGGCGAGTTTATAATGGTGAAGACGCCAATTAGGATGGTCAGTTCTTCATTAGAATCTAATTTGGACAAAAAAGTCACCGAGCACGAGGATGCGCTCCGCTCTTTTGAGTACAGCAAACAGATTTTCAACCCCGTTGAGGTCGGGAATGTTAGGAGGCAAATCTACAATTTCGACCTTGAAATTGCTTATGGTATTTTTTTATTACACACCTAAGTGTGATGAACAGCAGACGGGGCGAACCCCATAGTCACGAGAACCTGCTGTTCAGCGGTGGAAACCGGAAACCTAAGCCTCGGGACTTGGAGTGGAGACCCTCATAAGGCCCCGATAGGTTAGGCGTCGTGTTGAACCGGACGATAGCATAGCTGGATCGGAGGAGGATGCAACAGCACGTAAGCATTAGGAAATTGCTTTTTCAGAGAGAAGCAAACAATGGAAGTTCAACAGCGGTGATCTTCAGCATTTAATCCGTACATTGTTCATCACACTTGTGTGATGTTGAAATCGGACAACAAACTGATACTGTGACATATAGACAAGAAACGGTAATAATTGTCAACAGTCACGAGATACGCCGGAATGAGTGGGAGAGAGAGACTTAGAAAATCACGTTCACTGCACACGAACATACGCAACTACCACCACGAACAGTGATAGTGGATGAACAAAACGACCGTCGAGAACCACACCTGGACCAGGCAAACAGTCGATTCCGAACCAACGCATCAGACGCAGTGCCGATCGTTCACCGCGACCTGTCAAATAGCAACCGATGAGCGCCTCGACACAATCGGCCACGGACTTGTCCGGAATAGCTTGTTGAATCGTAAGCAAACACCGATCAACACTGGAACGGGAATTCGGGAAACAGGATGCCGGAAAGTACGATGAGTTGTGGAAAAGGAAATAAAGGAGAAAGACCAGCGAACAGAAACTACAGCGACATAACATAATGCCATGATGTACCGTTCCATCATGTGTTACCAAAGTGCCAACAAATTAGATTAGAGTTGAAGAATACCTCTGACTCAAGTTTCTTCGGGCGTCATCTATAATGACAGTCAGTCAGTTGCCGACCCGACAGCAAACGACAGAGACTACAATCGAAGGCATACAGCATGTATAGAAGCCATGTTTTCGCGATTCAATGTCCCAGCTAAATATTCCAGGAGTTCTTAACACAGGTACCCTCTCCAAGTTTCCTTCTTAATGCATTCTATGATGGCCGATTATGAACCCCTTTCGATTAACTTTATTCAATTACGGTTGCTCACTGCCTGTCCGATTCACGGCCCTCCGAATCCCGGACAAGCCACTGGTCGATTCATGGTCTGTTTAGAACCAGTAACAGACTGAATCACTCTGTGCCCCCTGCTCCATCCACGGTTAATATAAAGAAATCATTTAGTACTCCCACACTGTCTACTGTCGATGTGTGGTTTGGAATGCGCCTATCTCTAGCGCGTTGCCTTCCGGGCTGGTAAAATCCACAGTACAGTGTGGATGCAGGTCGAACGTGTCCCTCGGGTATCAACGTTTCGACCCCCCCCCAAACCAAAGATCTGCGAATCGGACGCAAAAAGTACGCGCTGTTGAACAGTCCCAAAAGGAGCAGGAACAGCTGTCTGGTGCTCTGTCAGTAATCACATAATAATTTCATCGAATTTCTTTTTGTTCCTTCCTTTCATTTAATCGATAAGGATACAGTTTCAGGAAGAGGAAATAGTCCAGCAAAGGGCTGTGATACGACACAAAATACTTTCTAAATAAATTCTCCCAAAATCACATCAAAAACCATTAACTGGATGATAAACGAACTGCGTGGATGGTGTTATAAATAGCCTTATCTCAACTACTTTAATAAATACGTAAATGGGAGGTGGATTTACACATATTGCATAGTGTGCGAAAAGCTTGGTAGGGAGGAGGTTGGGATGCGGTGGAGCCAACAGAAACACAGTGAGAGGGTCTGAACACAATTTGGATGATGAAAAATAGGTGAGAACAAATGGCAGAGCGGGTACCTTTCTTGAGCTCGCTTCACTTCCGGTGCGTTTGGATCCCAATCCGAGATCGCGAAATTGTCAATCGGTCGGATTCGCTCTGCATCGCAAACTTTCATACCCAGAAGTACCTCATCATCCATCAGGGTGTCCGTGGACCAGATAACCTGATCACCATCATGTTTGGTCATCTGTGNTCTGTGGACCAGGTTTCCCGCGTAGACGACGATCGTGTCGCACAATGTAACCCGGTGGGACCCAGCTCTCGCCGGGAGCGAATTTGCCAGCAATCATACGATCTGGAAGGTTTTTTGCCCGACCCAGTCGGTAAAGGTTTGAATTGCAGACCTACGGGAAAATGTGTTAGAGGTTAGTGAGCGATTATACGGACATTTCTGTCGTTTACTGATGGAAAAGTGGCATCGAGCTTAACTAAGGGCTTCTTCCAATGTTGAAAATTCTAAGTTTGGTTGAAAATCATAATCAACTAATTAATTCGTTCAACCGATATTTCACCAGTATGTGGGGTCTTGTGTTCGATGAGCTTGGCGTTTAGATCGCAGTGCGTTGGTCCGACGCACTGACGATGTCACCTCGGCTGGTGATGAAACGTTTGCGATCTAAACGGCAAGCTCAGCGAACACAAGACCCCACAAACCATCAACCTGAGCTACAAACCACACCCATATTTCACCAGTATGTTTGGTTCAATTGCTTGAAACG